GTTTCTATTCTTTCTTTAATTTCTTTCATGCTTATAATATGCATATGGATGTGTGTGACACGTGAAAATCATGTAAATGAAGGCCTATAAATTAAAAAACGAAAAATAAAATTAACTGAAAAATCTGCCTTGTTTGGCCGCTCGTGCGGTGGCTTTGGCTGCACGAGCGGTGGTGAAGCAGTGTGCTACTTTGAACAAATCAAGGTTGGCCGCTCGAGCGGTGGCCCAGGCTGCTCGAGTGGTCTGGGTGAAAAAACAGCTCAAAATTCTACTTTCAGTGGGAACTCATTCCTTTGCCAAATCAACTTTAAATTCATACATTTCAAAGCCCAAAACTCATACAAACAACTTGAATTAAACACCTTTCACTTGAAACATAAATCATAACTTTAAATTAAATTCAATGTTTCATGTGAAGACCAAAACTTTGAACAAAATGGCAAAATCATCAACTATACACATGTTAACAAATTCATGGAGTTTCACCCTCCATCTTCAAGAATCATGCAAGAAGACAAGCTTATGAACATGACTTAAATGATATGATGCCACGTATGAAAAGTTATGAACCATCTTTCTTCACTTCTTGCCATATCCTTCTATGGTGGTGTTTGGGAAGCAAGTTCCCAAATTTTTTTCTCATTTTTTCCACTAAAAGACAAAAGTTTTGCAAAACCAAAAAAAACACATCCAAACAAAATATCACATCCAACCCCATAATCATTTCACTTTTTCTCTCACAAACATCACATCCAACCACATAGAAACCCAACTATCTTCCCAAACACCAAAAATTTTTTATCTCATAAAAACCTACATCTAATAAAATCTACATAAAAACTCACTTCCCAAACACCATCTATCTCTACTCCATGTTCATGAGTTTATGTATGTCTTAGCTCCATATCAAGAAATTAATAGAAATTTCTTACCTTTGAGTGTTGATCTTTGAAGCTTGGTTAAGTTTCCCCTTTGTTCTTCTTCTTCTTCTCTTCTAAGTTTCTAGATCTCTCTCTCTCTAAGATTTTCTTCTCCTTTTTGTGTTGAGTCAAACAAGGACCCATATTTATATCTATATATAATTGTCTATAGGTTGAGCCAAACATGGCTTAGCGAATCAGACAAAATTAGTTTTTAATTAAACTTCCCAAATGACTCTAAAAATTCCCAATAGCATATTCATGTGCTCAATTTCGGTTTCTGAACCCATTATAGTTGTCAATTTCAGTCCCGAAGTTGTAGCTCAACAAATATTTTTCCAATTCAAACAGATATTCTCCAATTAATTCATATTATCACATAATTAAATAAGGATAATTGTGACATGCTTTTTGGGCCATTAAAAGGATATTTTAGATATATATGAAAATGGATGATGTGCATTGAGCAAAAATAATAAAGTTAAAATTGTGTTAAGTGTGCATTAAGTAAGTGATATACCTTGAAACCAAAGATGATGTGTAAATAGAGGTACCCGAAATTCTACTTACACCAACATTTAATCTCCTTACACCCATTTTCTCATTACAATCAATCCAAATCTTTTTCCCTCTAAACTTCTGAATATACTAATTTTTCGCCTCTTCTTTACACTTCAAACTTTTCAAATCCTAATTCTATCTTATCCCAACCACCTCCTTCGGCAGCCACTTTTACTGTCGGTAGCCGACCCATAGTTCCGCCACCACCGACGACTCCCTCTACCACCGCCGCCACCTTTCAAATCTTTTCACAACCGCTATCTCCGACCACCGCGAGCCCATTCCCTCCGCTGTGATCACCTTCCCAGCCCACCTCCACTGTTGCGTCTCCCTTTCTACATTATTCTGTTGCCATCGCGCCTCCCCTTCCAACCTCTTTATCCGTTGCAATCCTCCTCTCCGGTGGCGACCCATCTCCGCCACAACCCATCTACACTACCATGAACTGCACGCGAACCCATCCATGCCCTCCCATCATCCCAAGCGATTAAGCAAATAAGAGAGAAGTTTCAGATTTGGAAAGCAACAAAAGAGAAGGAGAAGAAGAATCGCGATTCGCAGAGAGAAAGGCTGACCTGGACGGCGGTTTTGGGAAGGAGAAGGGTTTTCAGAGGTAAGAGAAGGGTTTCTGGGGGGTTGGGGAGGTACGAGAAGGCTGAGAGAGCGATGCCGGTGTTGGAAAAGGACTGTCGGCGTTGAAAGACGGTTGGCTGGTGGTGCGGAAAGGCTACCAGAGGTGAGATAGCAGGTGGTGGAGATTGGTGGGTGGGGTGAGAAAATCATTTGTTAAATTTTTGGGATTTGAGGGTTAATTGGTAATTTTATAGAAAAATAAAATAGTAATAAAAAATATATTAAAAATGAAGGTATAATATTAAAAATGAGAGTATAATGAGTTAAAAGTATTGTGGAAGTAGAATTATTCAATTTGAATTTTATTGGCCAAGATTTACTATTTTTATCTCTTTGAGTTTGGAATTTTTTTAGATTAAAATTTATGAAAAAATAAAATAAGTTAAAATAATTAATAAAATAAAATATTTTATTAAATTTATAATTATTTTATTTTTTTTCTCACAAATATCACATTTAATTATAAAAAAAAAATTAATCATCTACTCAAATATAAATATTTCAACTTATTAAAATAATTTATTAAAATAAACAACTTCTTAAACGAGGCTAACCTGAGAAGTATTCTGACGAAAGCGATATGCTACATTACTTCGAAGTTATCGAGTAGGTTCTCTTATTCCGTAGAATTAAAATGTCATTCAACAGACACATTAGGTTGATTCATTCATGTGATGATTTCTTATCTTAAAAAAAAACGCAGAACATTTCTACATCACACTTTGAAGGAGTCATGCAGCACGCTGGTGTGCGCCGGTAAAAGTGCCATCATCCGCAGCCTCTTTAGGCTATGTTTGGCATGTTTATTTGAATTAAAATAGTTATATAAGATAAAATTAATTATTTTAATCAAATAAGACAAAATTTCACATTTAAATTATAATTATTTCATCTTTTCTCTCACAAAATTCAAAAAAATCTATCACAAATGAGACTTTTTAGCTACAGGATAAAATAGCCAAAAACTAAAAAGTCAAAATACCAGCCCACATTCCAAACGAAGGCTTAGTTATACAGTGATTTAATTTTGACTAATGTTACATAAATAAATAAAATTATACAAATATATTTATTTGGTACAATCATCTCGAAACATGACTCTAATGCTGTGTTTGGTTGGGGGATTTGGGAAGGGATTTGAAAAGGGAAAGGGAAAAGGTGTGTGAAACTATGTGAAATGTAGGTATATTTTTTTCACATTTCACCTATCTTTTCCATTTTCCTTTCCAAATCCCTCCTCAAATCCCTCAACCAAACACAACATAAAAGATAATCTTTGTACCATCTAAAATCACTTATTGTTGTTGAGAATGTTAGATTATTGATCATGAATTCGTAAATGAACATTATTATCTGTTTCTATAAAATGTTTATTTATTTATGCAACATCTATTAAATTAAAGTGGGTTATATTTCAGTTTATAAAAACTGTGTTAGAGTATCTGCATCAGCCTCAACAAATTTTGAGTCAAATTATAACTCAAAATTCACTTTTGTCATTTTAGCTAGTTACCTTTTTAGTGCTCACTACATCAAACTCTCTATTTTAACTCAATCTTATTAAAATATTAATTTCTTATTGTATTTGTTATTCTTTTTTTTTTATTAAATTGATGAGGTGTCACCCAAATAATTTTTAAAAAATGCAAAAAAAATAAAATAAAATTGCCATTGACCGGTAAGACTAATTTTGGACATTTTTTCTTTCTGCTACAGGCACTCACGAAACATTCGATAGGATATTCAAGAGGACATCCGGATGGACGACCGATTTAAAGATTTTGGTCCAGTTTTGCTCCAAAAAATATAATAAAAAATCATGTAGCCAATGGACCGTGCCTCTTTAAAGTTGTTGAGATATTGTAACAAATTTAATAAAAAGTTAATTTACAAAAAAATTGTTGAGACTGATGGAAGAAGGATTTCATGATTTACTAACTATATTTTACCTTTTTGTTATTTTGTCTCATGTGATGCGGATGCTCTTCGGTACTTTTATATAAAAAGTTGTTCTAAAAAAATGTAATTAAGTAAAATAAAGGAAAATGAAATTTACTTTTTTATGTGTATTCATTTATCAGGGACCAAAAAAATGCATTATTAAAATTATTGTGAAATCTATATTTTTCACAGTAGATTTTTGAGAGAATATTTATCATAATGAGAAAGTTAAAATCCAAGTGTCACAAAATTCACTAACTAAACATGTAAAAGACAATGAAACAGTTTTTCTACACTTCATTTTTTTTTTTTCTTCTTCTCGACAACTGAAAATAGTCAAAAGTTTTATTTTTAAATGACACATTAATTAGTAAAAAAGATTGTAAGATTTGTTACTCTGTATATCATATATTTTTTTAAAATTTTCATTACAATAGTAATTACATTGGATCATAATTCAAAATTACACCTTTTGTAGTATGATGATTCGAATTTATGGAGAGAAATGTATCATTTGTGATGGTGATTTACATATGAGTAAATGCTAGAAACTTTAACAATTCTATTAAAAATTTTATCAAATATCTCAAATGTCTCACATGAGTATAGGACCCACACAATGTGAGTTCTAGATGAATCCCACAACCGTGTGAGATATTTACTAAAATTTGTTATATAATTTTTTGAATCTCTAACATTTTTGTTTATATTGTACAATATGATTTGGGGTAAAAATTACAAACATTACAAAAACTTCATGAGTTAATGGCACCGCAATCATTTAAGTAGGTTGATACTGTTTAGATAATTCTAAATCAAATCAAATATGGAGGTAGTATTTCACAAGATATAGCTGGGTCAGCAAATTTGGAAAAAATTTATACAAAAGGACATAAAATTCCTTCGATGTTCATCTGGTAATTGAGTATAGAAAGAAAACCAAAATCAAAACAAGTCAATCAAATCAGACCACCATGAAATTTCTTTACCAGTTAAAAAACCAAAAATTCTGACACACTGCAATTAGAGCACAACACAAAGAATTAAAAGTTTGGTGGCAATCAGTCAAAGAGCAATGAGAGAGAGAGACTAAAAGAGCCTAGCTGCAAACGAAACGCGGGCATGAAGAATTTTATTGTGCTTCCAAGACACAAATTTTACGATTCAAAAGAATCAATTCTGTGAATGACACAATCTTTGAGGGAGAAACTGGTACAACTTACTAGCGATAGTAAGGAGGCTGACCTGGAGGTGAAGCACCACCAGGTCCCACATTAGGCTGATGAGAAGCCACAGCATAAGCTGAAGCAGATGGTGCATACGTTTGGCTGCAAAATGTGCCGGGAGCTGAAACAAAGTTTGGTCTGCCCGCCTGCATGTTTGGATCCCATGAGGGCACTTGTCCACCCGGAGCTTGACCTGGCACAGCCCCACCAGCACTAAACTCACTCCCTTGATACATAGGAGCGGGTGGACGATTCTCCCAAGCTGTTGGAGCCTGTTGCATTGCAAGCAAACTTGATTCGGGGATTGTGTAATCTCTACTTTTGTCACTGAATGCCTAGAACAAAGTTAAATTACAATAGTCAAATCCAAGGGAAAAGATTTTTAGGGATTTACTTATAAAAGGGTGAATTACGTGTCAAGAAGCATACATTCAAGGACCAAATCTTTTTCAATCAACAACAGACCCACTTTTTCTTGTAACCAAGTCTTTAAATTTTTTCCTCATAAATTTTGCCTCATGAACATTTTAACTCAAAAGCACATATTTTATACCTTTACATTGAGATCAGTATGACGAGAGTATGATAGATGAAGCTTACAATAGCCACCATCATATATGCAGTGTCCCTCTAAAGCATCCTTGGCGACTGCTGCGGTTGTGACGTCTGGAAAAGTAAGTGATTTATAAATTAGTTACTAGGCTGCACCAAAAAGTAAAGGGAAAAGAAAGAACAAAAGCACGCAAAGACATAGGTGCACTTTAACAACAATCATCAATAAATGTTCGTAAATATCAAAGCACACATCAATAAGCCAAAAGTAGAAAAAAGGAATTTTGGAGAAGGATACTGAATTGGGTACTAGAAGAAAAATGAGTGAGAGAGAGAGAGAGAGAGAGAGAGAACCCAAAGCCCATATAGCCAATTTTCAACCTTTTATTGTGGCTTACTGATATTACCCAAAACCCATCCTATATGCAAAAGTACATCCTTTCAAAAGTACAACACTTCCTGGGCAACTATTTGAAATGGTTCCTCACCTTCTAAACATTTTGAGCACCAAAACCCCAAAGTTTTGACCTGGCTCAAAAAAGGTTTTCCCGGTAAATAAGTTCATCCCTAGACCGGGCAAGAAGTTTGTAACCAAATAGAGAAAAAGAATCTTAGGCCGGTCACCGGTGAATTGGCAGTGGAATGTGATTATTCATTACATGCATTTCATATGCCTTGCTTTCTCTATTGAGATTCTAGTATCACATTCAAGAAAGATGGTTAGATATAGGATCTAGTATCTCCTAACTTTTCATAGAGACCAAGAATCATAAAAAATATCATACACAAAGAAAAAGAATAATTTTTTCCATTACATATCTGGGCTAATATTCCAACAGTATCTGATCCCACAAAGGTTGTCAAGGTCAAAAAACCAGAAGTCAGCAACTACCAGGATATTGAATCAGTGGAGTCTAACAGTAAAAGAGGTCTTTCTTTTTAAGGCCTCATTTGGCAACTCTATGTTTTATTAGCATAAAAGCCAAAAAGTCACTAAAAAAACAAAAAGCCAACAAATTGTACAAAAAAGTCAAAGATTCTCTCTTCTCTATACTTTTATACGTTTTTTCGTAAAAAGCCTAAAAGTCATCCCAAACATACTAGTTTTTTTAACCTCATATTTTAGTCAAAAAATTACTAAAATAGCATGTTCCCAAATGAGGCCTAAGTAAAATAGGGGGCACCTACCAGGATATTGAATTAGTGCCTGTGTTCCGCCATTCTTCTCAAATATAGCAATTTTCTGGACAGTACCAAATGCAGAGAACACCTGAAATATAAATCAACAGAATTATAATAATACAGTACACTAGATAAAATATACTTTACATGAGAAAGTCATAAGTACAATCCATCACCGTGTGAAGAACATCCACTGTGACAGCATACTGCATATTTTCAATTGATGCAAGAAGCACAGTACTCTCAGGTTCCTTTTTCTTTCCATCAGGTCCTACAGCAGGCTGCATGTTACCTCTTGTTAGTGTTTGCTTAAATACTGCATAATACAACGAACATCCTAAATGAAAAACTATACCTGAGCAAATCCCTCAATAGCGGTAGGATTAACAGGAAGATATGGGTTTGTATAATCCCTGTAAGATTAAGCAAACAAATTCCGTGTATCAGGTGACCTTTATTGACAACGTCGTCATAGACTAAAGCAACATTAAATCTCAATCGAAAGATTGAAAAGAATAACAATCAGAAAGCAAATTCAAAGATGTAGAAGTTTCAGAAACAGAAACAAAATAGAAGCACATCACTATTGTCCAAGGGAAGAGAAAGAAATTTACATGGATGTGTATACAGGTGAGGATACCAAAAAGTCCGATATGTTGGACTCTGGTAATAGACATGCAAGAAATGATGAAACATGAGAGGGAGAATTACAATTCTCAAATAACTGAGTTATAGAATCAACACAATTGACAACAGAGGAAGGCATTTAAATAAAATTAGGCAAGAATAGATTGGGACATAGCAAACCCATGATGGAGAGGCATTAAGACGAAAAAAAAAAAAAAAAGACTTTATATATTACATTTGGATACTTCCCAGGGAAGAGATGGCATTGTCTGCTTTTCTCAAACCCAAAGACTCAAACATCTGTAACATCCTGTCCTACATTGGTTAGGTAGGAAAAGTTTCTGTGCTATATAAGTGAGTTCACATCCTCTCAAAAGTAAGCGGACAATATCATTACGACTCAGGATGGAGATGTTACAATTGGTATCCAAGCAGGACCTACCTTGCAGTGTGTGGGTCACACATGGTGGAAGCCGCCTCTAGAGTATGTACAAGCCACCACTTGACTCCCATGAGCAGGAGCAAAATGTTGTGCAAAGTTAAATGCATCATCACACACCACACAAGGACGTGTGGTTCTGACTTCTGAAAACTTATTAGGCTATATAAACGAGTTCACATCTCTTCCTAATAACAGCGAGTTTTAAAGTCACAAGGGCAGCCCAAATCAAACAATATCGTTTCAATTCAGGATGGGAGACATTACACCATCTGTCTTAAAAAAGAAGCTCAATTGGTTTAGAGATCGGTGATTTACATCTCTGTGTCAAAGTTGGGTTGGAGGAGGACTGCTTGAACCACACAGTAGGTGGGAAACGAATGGGTCCCCAAAGAGAACAATGGTGGAACAAGTCAACAGAGGTGGTGGCAATGTTGATTTCCAGCTTCATTTGTCTTGTATTTTTTCTACTAATGCATCAATTATTTTCTTGATTTGTTAGAGACTCTTGAATTTCAATATTTTTAGAATTCTTTTGGTTACTAAAAAAACAGAGGAAAAAAAAAAAAAAAAAGAAAGAAAGAAAAAAAAATACAAATAAAGTGTTCTACATTTGCAATTTTATTGTTTTAGGTTGATTGAAAAGGAAATTTTACTTTGTGAAAGGATGTTTGTCTTCAAGAAGGTCACTAAACAATTTTTTTATTTGCAATTTTTTTTTTTTATATGAGGCGGGGAAGGGTATACCCCCCTGACTCATACCCAACCTGTTGCCATCCCTGAATACAGGCTGCAGATAAGATGTATGTTTAAAAAGACACATGAACAACACAAACTAAAAAACAAGAACAAAAGACAAAAAGTGCAACTGAAACTTGGTGTCATTGACAGTGGAGGTCCAACATGATTGTAAAGCATCTGCAGTAAGATATGACGAGGGTATTTGCCATTTACGAATAACTGAATAAACAAGACAAAAGGTGAGATGTGTTCGTTCAATGCATTTACTAGATATAAACTAATGAGATCCAAAAAATTTCAACTACAGTGAAATTACAGGAACACATTAAACAACTACAATAAGATTAAGAAAATTACTAAGAGGCCATGAAAAACACATCTGTGTTCTAGCTGCCGAGCTTCACTAACCCCTAGTTAACAAAAACCACATGCATCAATTAGCAAGACCTCAATCACCAAAAATCATAATCATAGAAGCATAATGATGAAAGAGCAAGCATTGAATATAGCCAAATACAGAATAAAGAAACATCAAATTAATGGCCAGCTGGATTCATTATTACCTGCTTCGATGAGATTGGAACTTAATATTCAAGTCTGTGTGCGCCGAATAGGAGATGCGCAAGTGGCATGAACCAACATGGTCTGGAAGCAAGTACCTGAAATTTGTTACATACCAAATATGAAATCCACCATAGTGAGAACTTCCACAGTTCTAAACTTAGCAATATCGTAAAAAAGCGGGGAAAGCAATTAAGATGGATACGAATAAAAGATAGCATACCTGGGTATGCTTCTTCCATCCAATGCATCTCTTGCTGCAGCTGCAGTCTCAGCATCACTGAATTGGATCAATGTCTTCGAACATGCAAAGGTAGGTGGCAAATTTACAAAAGTACAGAAAGACCAATGCAGATACCAAAAAAATACAAGAAAAACGAGAGAGAGAGAGAGAGAGAGAGATAGAGATATGACGAGGGTATTTGCCATTTACGAATAACTGAATAAATAAGACAAAAGGTGAGATGTGTTCGTTCAATGCATTTACTAGATATAAACTAATGAGATCCAAAAAATTTCAACTACAGTGAAATTACAGGAACACATTAAACAACTACAATAAGATTAAGAAAATTACTAAGAGGCCATGAAAAACACATCTGTGTTCTAGCTGCCGAGCTTCACTAACCCCTAGTTAACAAAAACCACATGCATCAATTAGCAAGACCTCAATCACCAAAAATCATAATCATAGAAGTATAATGATGAAAGAGCAAGCATTGAATATAGCCAAATACAGAATAAAGAAACATCAAATTAATGGCCAGCTGGATTCATTATTACCTGCTTCGATGAGATTGGAACTTAATATTCAAGTCTGTGTGCGCCGAATAGGAGATGCGCAAGTGGCATGAACCAACATGGTCTGGAAGCAAGTACCTGAAATTTGTTACATACCAACCAGAAATCCACCATAGTGAGAACTTCCACAATTCTAAACTAAGCAATATCGTAAAAAAGCGAGGAAAGCAATTAAGATGGATACGAATAAAAGATAGCATGCCTGGGTATGCTTCTTCCATCTAATGCATCTCTTGCTGCAGCTGCAGTCTCAGCATCACTGAATTGGATCAATGCCTTCAAACATGCAAAGCTAGGTGGCAAATTTAGAAAAGTACAGAAAGACCAATGCAGATACCAAAAAAATACAAGAAAAAAAAAAAGAGAGAGAGGGAGAGAGAGAGAGAGAGAAGAAGAAGAAGGCGATTTTCGACATCACACCTGAAAACCTGCAGCCTTCTCAAAAGTTGCAATCTTGTGGACAAAGCCAAAAGCTGAGAACACCTGAGGTAAGTTTCAATAAGATTTAAGCATGCCACTAAAAAGAGAAGGGTAGGAAGAACAAAATGGATCACCATCAAAAAACCATCCTACTATCAATACAATTGGAGGAGAAAATATCAACACATCAGATAAGTGCAGAATGACACCTGTATATGAAAGCATGAAGATAGATCTTAGAAAGGAGTATGACGCACATGATAATATATTCCACAGTGTCTCCAACAAAGGATCTAAATAAGAACCATCATCATCTGTGATTCAACTGATTTCAATCACAATTGTATTGGAAATGAACCAAAAAACAAAACAAAACAAAACAAAACAAACGAAGAAGAAGACAGTGTGAAAGTGATCAATGAACAGTGCAACCGACTTAGATTGACATTACAACTTATTTAAGCATGGCATCAACAATTTTTTAGAAAAATATAAAATAACACACTATGATAATTGTCCCCACAAATGTTATGGAAATTAGAGAAAAAGAAGATCATCAAAATAAACGAGATAAGTTTCCAATGCAGTAGAGAAAAGTGGATTTTCAGGTGAGATGGCACTGGATTATGAATATCCATGCAGACTCTTGTAACAGCTAATTGTAAGCTGATATACACAGTAAATATTAGGTATTATTACATCTGCTTAACAGTAGAAAACATAAAAGAAAAAAGATATTCCCGAAACTCAGACCAACCTACTATACAACTTAGATCAGATAGACAATACAAGGCTCTGTAACACCTGATAAGAATCAATCAAACAAGGTAATAACTTATGGCCAAAAGACACTTACCAAATGAATAACATCGATGCTGACATCACCGGCTTCTACTCCCTCAATGGTTACCAGCAGAACATTTCCCGGAACATCTCCTGGACCTTTGTTGTTCACAATTTCGTGTCTATTAGAATATTGAATATACACAGTTTTCCCACGAACCTGCGCAGGCTCTGAAGATGAAGCATAATATGTAACCATATTAATGGCCTGATTTAGGTCTGTCTGCAATTAAAAAAAAAAAAAAAAGAGTCAAATATTGCTTTTGTCAACGTGGAGCCTCTTCCCAATAAAAAGGACAAAGGCTAGGAAAAAAATAAATCCACAGGCTTTAAATCAAACAAATAAAACTTTACATTGAAAAACATTTAGCAACCCATGGGAAGTTCAGTCACACACTAACCAGTTTATATTATCCACATGAAAGTCCAATATGATGAACAATCATGGTTTTGAAAACCAGCCATTCTCATAATGTAATCCGTTAATCATAATGTAATGTCATTACACAATGTTATGTCTGAGTTTCGATATTGAGACTGGGCCAGTTTGGTGCAACTTTTCTCAAGCTAAAAGTTGATAATCAGAAACGAAAACTAAAAACACCCCTCCCTTAGCTTCCATATAATTATCTTCTTTCAACTTATTTAAAGCTATTTCTGTCCCATAAGACAATAAGTTAAAGTTGCACCAAACACTCTAATACAGATCAAACAAGCTGCCCTAAACAGGGCCCCTTGTTAGATCCAAAAATCAAGTTCTATCAGCCGTTATGAACTATTATGTCCCCGAATTGGCCATTAGATTAGACCCAGCCGCACACCAATTTCAACACTTGAATTTGAAAGCTACCTTACAACACTTCTAGACCTCAACTTTCACCTATAGCTCACTCAAAACTACAAAACTTTATTTATAAGCCATAGTTATTCTTTCAAATATCAAATTAGCAAAAGATGGTGTTCCACTTGAAAAGTTTGATAACTTCAATTTTGCATCTCTTCATAGAAGGGCCACACTGCACATTTAGTTGTACAAACCTTCTTAAGAGCTAATTCAACCGCATTATCAACATACTTATTATATGTGTTTTTATTAAATCTCTCTCAATTTCGATTGTGGTCCTAACCGTGAGTGTAATTTAGAGGTCAAATGATAGAAAGTATTTTCTACTGTCCTTTTCTTTCTCCTTTTGTGATAATTTCCAACGGGTAGACATTGATTTAGAAACCAATACAAGTAGCATTTGCATTACAAATAATGTCTTTAATGCTGTGTTTGCTTCATGAATTTGGGTAGGGGTTTGGAAAAAGTATGTGAAAGGTGTGTGAATATATTTCATTCACATTTCAACTATCTTTTCTTCCCTTTCCCTTTCCAAATCCCTCACCAAATTCTTGAACCAGACACAGCGTAAGTGTCTAAAAATAAACCGAAATCTTTGAACTTGGTAAATTGGGTGCTAAAGCATGAACACGGGGTTAGTTTAGGAGTTCACTAGCAAAAAGAAAAGTCCACAACTTCAACAAAATAACACCATGACCACAAGCATTACCGAGACCAATACAATGGCTCAACCAACAGAACTAACATGTTCATGATAAGTTTTGGACAAGCAAATCAAAACCTTGATGAAATACAATAGGAGATCGTCCGAGTTATATATGAAAATATCCTTAATATTCTCAACACTTGAGCATGCACCACTAAAATATCATTAAAATGTGTCGTATCCCATGAATATTCTATCCATTCTACGCCCACCCACTGCTTAAAAACACAATAATTTTTTTTCCCCAATTGTAATTGATAATGATAACTCAAAATGATCTTAAGCTAAGACTTGTAGCTCAACATATCTATAAACATAGTTGCATACATATAAGAGCATTCACCAAACGAATTACTAGGAATAACAAGAAACTCATAGAATGAATGAATGAACGATAATACCAAACGCAACCCAAGACCAAATCTAATATCAATTCAGATCGAAACGCAAAAAATGAAGGATAATACAAAAACCCTAATTCAGCAAATTGAAATCAAAGAAAGGGGAAATACTGACGAATTCAACAAAGGCCTGATTGCGATTGGCGCCAACATTGCACTTGGTGTTGACGATCTTGCCGAAGGGTTTGCAGAGCTCGATAAGCTCTTCTTCGATACACTCCCATGGAAGATTGCGAAGGTGGAGGACCTTCGATGGCGTCTGGGTGTATCGGAATTGAGGCTGCCCAGACGTCGACATTGGTCGAATTAGGGTTTTGGATAGTTGGATTTATTTAGGTCAGACGAATCGATGCGATGAAGGTAACTAGAGACTTTGAAACGGACCGCCGGAGATGTTTGCAGCGGTTGCTTGATTATTATCTTATCTGGAAAAAATAAACTACTACTAAAGTTTTTTGTTTTTTTTTTGGGAGGAGCTTGCCTATGGTTCAAGAACCGACTGGACGGCACTGTTCGGCGCGTAGGGGCTTATTACGGATCTGTTTTGATAATTTAAATTGGTCAATGTATAGAGTTTATTGAGAATTATATATTTTTAAACAATCAAATATCGATAGTTATCTCATCAGATCAATTTTTGTCAACTGTTAATTTGTTTATTGTTCTCTTTTTTTATACAAAATTGATTTAATCACATAACTATTGATATCCGATTAATGTGATTTTTTATACACATATAATACACGACGAATTCTACATATTAAACGGTTCAAATTATCAAAATAAAACCCGTGATAAACTCCCATAAATCAAACAATATCATCCAATTCGATGTCAGACGCGAACGGCTTCTTTTTTTGGGGGGCTATCTATCTATATCTCATTCAATATATATTTTAAATCAATATTCAAAATCTTTAAAACACCACTCATAAATATTTTTGTTTTGTTTTTTTTTTTTTTTTTTCCGTTTTGTTTCCCATCATATATTGAATGTGACCTACCACTGATGATAATTTTGGTGTTATTATACCATTAGAAAATTGTTTAGGAAAATTAGCATTATTTTTTAAAATTATTAATAAATAAGAAATACGGTTAAACTTATTTAAGATAACATTTCTTATTCATTATTTTTAAAACAAATATGATATAATATGTGTAATTAACTTAAATTTTTACATAAATAATTTATTCAATAAATTTTACAAACAAATCATTTAAATTATTAAGGTGAACTCAAAATGAGCCACAACACGTGAATTTAGGTCTCTTCAATTAAGCCCAATAGAGAAGCCAAATCTTTTTTAATATTGTTGTTAGTACTTAGCTCTTGGCATTGAGCCAAGCGCCCATGAAAATCATGCCCCAGCCTGTCCATGGACTAAGCCTAACGAGTTTTTATTTTTATTTTTTATTTTTTTTTGTAGGTTAGACTTGGGCTGGGCTTGGACCTATATTTTCGGCTTGTGCCCGACCTAGCCTGTATCAGATGGGCTTGGGCTGTGGGCTGTGGGATTATGGGCCTATAAATTTGGACTTTTTATTTTTAAATATACACCTTTGAGGTCATGCAAATTCTTTATCCCCACGTAGGCTATAGCTGGTACTGGAGTATGCAAAACATTCTGTATTACATGTGTCAAGAGTATGAAAGCACAAAGTGGGGTTGGTTGATCAGATCTAGCAACCATACCAACTCAATTTTCGCACGTCCATGTCCTTAAAATTTGGGTGCCCCTCAGACATATATCAACCACCCCATTTTGCCCAAAATAGAATGCTACAAGGTAGGCAAATGACTTCATCAAGGAATGTCATGAGACCGTACTAATTTGGTAAAGATTATTATTTTCCAATTCAGCCCAAGGTTTTGGTGGAGTTGGAACATGTAGAGAATCATATGCTTTGTAGACAATATTGTCCACATGATAGAGCAAGTAAGAGCAGGTAATACTTGATAAAACAAGCTCTAAAGTCCAAGCTTTAGTCAGTGCATCATGTACTTGCCCACATGATGCTTGATTTGGGGCCTTGATTAGATTAGTGGGCTCCCATGCCACTAAAGACTATTAAACCTAACATGCAACTAAAAAACTTTAGAAAAAGTTACGAGAATATTTAGAAAAATATAGTGTATTGTATATCTTCAAATTATATATATCAAAATTGTGTGACTGTGACGTTTTGAAAATAACAAATTACTTTGATGCGTCTCTTTGATTTAAAATGAAATGAGACAAATCTATCATATTATTCTGTATAGATTTTTTGAGTATATATATAATTACTCAATAAGTATGATATGATTCATGTCCAAAATGATTTAGCTACACATTTTATTTTTCAAGACACTTTAATTTCTAGGTATAGTGTTATATAAGTTACATACAAAATAAATCTAGAAAAATACTTTAATTTCAGATATAATATATGAGAGTTACATCCAGAGTAAATCTAGGCACATTTTATTTTTTGAGTGTGTAGCATTGGTGCTACATGTAGATCGCTTCTCTTTGCTTTGCCTTGATAACATACCTATAAAAGAACCCGCTTAGTGGTGGAAGGAAAGGAGTTAGACCCTGGCATGAACTGTAAACTTAAACATCTTAAGTTTAACTCTCACTAGTATCTCTTAAGTTCAATTGATACTTTTAATTTGCAAGTGATTATAGGAATTCAAGATTATATAATATTATGGATCATAAAAAAAATATCATGAAATGCATCATGAAAATTTTTCATCCTTTTATTAATGTGTGGTGTTTTATTGTATGCGTAATGTAAAGGTGAAGAATCTTTCATGATCGTCTTCATGATATTTTTTTCATGATCCCTAGCATTACTCTTCGAGATTTACTTTGTAAGGATTGTTTGGGAAGGTTCATTGTCATAAAAAAATAATGATGATAATAAATAAAATAAAGCAAAACAAAAAAACATGCCTATAAATTCACTTACCACTCTATCAAGCACAGACAGCTCTAGCATGCTCTAATACATTTTGTTGCAAACCCTAAAATTCCCCTAGTTGTTTTCTTGAAGTTGAAGATGATGAAGTCAGGTGCTCTTGAGCTTGGTGAGGCCTCTAAGGGTTCCACCACTCCAAATACTGGGGTGAACAGAGGTGTCTCCATAGTAGACTTCATTCTAAGACTCATCGCCATTTTTGCCACCATAGGAAGCGCAATCGCCATGGGAACAACAGATGAAACGCTGCCTTTCTTCACTCGGTTCATTCGGTTTAGGGCTCAGTACGATGACCTTCCGACATTCACGTGAGTACTACTGTCACTTGTGTTTTGCCAAATATTTCTGATAGTTTTTTAAGGGAATTACTAGGTTTTATATTTGAATAATGCTTGGGACCCGCTTTTGGAGGTCACCCCCTCACCCCCTTGCCATGTGGCAGGGGGTGATTGGAGGAGCAGGAAAAAAAAGAAAAAGAAAAAGAAAAGGTAACCAATGAGAGAGAGAGAGGGAGTCAAAGGGGGTGGGGGGAAAAGGGGGATGAATGATGAAAAAGATAGTATATGCTAAAAAACCTCTCCTCTCAATGTGTGTTTGGAATAGGTTTTTTGTGATTGCGAATTCGATAGTGAGTGCATACTTGGTTCTATCTCTGGCACTGTCCATCTTCCACATCATGAGGAGTGCTGCACAAGGCACTAGGATAGTCTTGATCTTCTTTGACTCGGTATTTTTCAATTGCATCATTGTGCTTAAATTTCTCGTATTTCAAAATTTCAGTCATATTATGTGATTGAGAATGTATTGAAATAAAATAATAATTAGAAAAAACAAATATTTTGAAGTCAACATCCATGCCACCGGCATCCATTTTGAAAAATGCAAGTTTTCTTAGACCAACCCCAAACCCGACTTGCCTATGTATGTATATGTTATAAATCACACTTATATTTTTATATGAGCGGCAATATATAAACAAATATTTATTTAAGATTTTTATACATAATAATGATATGATTCAATTATAATCTTTAACTTTAAAATAAGACACCTATATATAAAGATCACTTACATTTACAATAATATTTTTTTTTATCGACAAAATAAAGATTCATTGATGCAAAAAAAAGTGTAAGATGTACAAACTGTTAGGGAAAATCGATGTGATTCCCCACAAGTAAATCAATCAATGGAAATAAATACTAATGCGAAAAAATTAAATCAAAGCAACACAAGAATTTTTACGTGGTTCCCTCAATGTGAGGTACGTCCACGGGATCGAAATCCGATTCCACTATCAACCAAATAAGTTCCAAACGATTACAAACGAGACACTAATGGTCTCACAAAACCACCCTTAGATGAATTTCAAATAATCACAAATAAACAAGAGGAAAGACCTCACCAAATAGATGAACCAAAATCTTTAGAATCAAAGTTGTAGAAGACCCAAAATAACGACCCAAATCAACTTCACCAAAGCATCCAAACAACGATGCACGATATTAATTTGCTGCTGCTCCACAAATCCCAAAGCCAAAAACTAATTGTTTTACTATAGTATAGCAAACCGCAGCACTATTCCACCAATTCCAAAAGGCACGAACTGATTAATCAAATTATAGCGGTCGTACTCCCTCTTTTTTTCTTGGGAAAAACAATATCAATAATTATATATTGTGAATCTAGCCGATCAAAAAAATATATTGTGAATCTAGAGTTTTGTAATCAAACCCTAATTATTTCTAAATTGGATTGGGTTTCCTTAAATATAATATATAAAAATATATTATACCTAAATCAAGTCAAATTAAAACTCTTTAACAAACCAATTGGGTCCCACACTCCAATAAGGAGGTATACCCAACAATTCTCCCCCTACCGACTTAGGTGGAGACATCAACCATACCCGCCAAAGTTCGACACTTTAGATGTTTGTCCCTCGACAAAGTCTTTGTCAACATATCTGAAATATTATCATCTGTGTGACCTTTTTCAAGTTGTAACAATTTCGAATCTAACACATCACGAATCCAATGGTATCTCACATCAATGTGTTTCAATCTCGAATGAAAAGTAGAATTTTTGCTCAAGTGAATAGCACTTTGACTATCACAATAAAGCACATACTTTTCTTGCTTTAAACCTAACTCTTAATTGCATGGATGTGAGACTTTTTGTTTGGTTTTTTTTTTTTTTTTTTCCGTTTTGTTTCCCATCATATATTGAATGTGACCTACCACTGATGATAATTTTGGTGTTATTATACCATTAGAAAATTGTTTAGGAAAATTAGCATTATTTTTTAAAATTATTAATAAATAAGAAATACGGTTAAACTTATTTAAGATAACATTTCTTATTCATTATTTTTAAAACAAATATGATATAATATGTGTAATTAACTTAAATTTTTACATAAATAATTTATTCAATAAATTTTACAAACAAATCATTTAAATTATTAAGGTGAACTCAAAATGAGCCACAACACGTGAATTTAGGTCTCTTCAATTAAGCCCAATAGAGAAGCCAAATCTTTTTTAATATTGTTGTTAGTACTTAGCTCTTGGCATTGAGCCAAGCGCCCATGAAAATCATGCCCCAGCCTGTCCATGGACTAAGCCTAACGAGTTTTTATTTTTATTTTTTATTTTTTTTTGTAGGTTAGACTTGGGCTGGGCTTGGACCTATATTTTCGGCTTGTGCCCGACCTAGGCTGTATCAGATGGGCTTGGGCTGTGGGCTGTGGGATTATGGGCCTATAAATTTGGACTTTTTATTTTTAAATATACACCTTTGAGGTCATGCAAATTCTTTATCCCCACGTAGGCTATAGCTGGTACTGGAGTATGCAAAACATTCTGTATTACATGTGTCAAGAGTATGAAAGCACAAAGTGGGGTTGGTTGATCAGATCTAGCAACCATACCAACTCAATTTTCGCACGTCCATGTCCTTAAAATTTGGGTGCCCCTCAGACATATATCAACCACCCCATTTTGCCCAAAATAGAATGCTACAAGGTAGGCAAATGACTTCATCAAGGAATGTCATGAGACCGTACTAATTTGGTAAAGATTATTATTTTCCAATTCAGCCCAAGGTTTTGGTGGAGTTGGAACATGTAGAGAATCATATGCTTTGTAGACAATATTGTCCACATGATAGAGCAAGTAAGAGCAGGTAATACTTGATAAAACAAGCTCTAAAGTCCAAGCTTTAGTCAGTGCATCATGTACTTGCCCACATGATGCTTGATTTGGGGCCTTGATTAGATTAGTGGGCTCCCATGCCACTAAAGACTATTAAACCTAACATGCAACTAAAAAACTTTAGAAAAAGTTACGAGAATATTTAGAAAAATATAGTGTATTGTATATCTTCAAATTATATATATCAAAATTATGTGACTCTGGCATTTTGAAAATAACAAATTACTTTGATGCGTCTCTTTGATTTAAAATGAAATGAGACAAATCTATCATATTATTCTGTATAGATTTTTTGAGTATATATATAATTACTCAATAAGTATGATATGATTCATGTCCAAAATGATTTAGCTACACATTTTATTTTTCAAGACACTTTAATTTCTAGGTATAGTGTTATATAAGTTACATACAAAATAAATCTAGAAAAATACTTTAATTTCAGATATAATATATGAGAGTTACATCCAGAGTAAATCTAGGCACATTTTATTTTTTGAGTGTGTAGCATTGGTGCTACATGTAGATCGCTTCTCTTTGCTTTGCCTTGATAACATACCTATAAAAGAACCCGCTTAGTGGTGGAAGGAAAGGAGTTAGACCCTGGCATGAACTGTAAACTTAAACATCTTAAGTTTAACTCTCACTAGTATCTCTTAAGTTCAATTGATACTTTTAATTTGCAAGTGATTATAGGAATTCAAGATTATATAATATTATGGATCATAAAAAAAAATATCATGAAATGCATCATGAAAATTTTTCATCCTTTTATTAATGTGTGGTGTTTTATTGTATGTGTAATCTAAAGGTAAAGAATCTTGCATGATCGTCTTCATGATATTTTTTTCATGATCCCTAGCATTACTCTTCGAGATTTACTTTGTAAGGATTGTTTGGAAAGGTTCATTGTCATAAAAAAATAATGATGATAATAAATAAAATAAAGCAAAACAAAAAAACATGCCTATAAATTCACTTACCACTCTATCAAGCACAGACAGCTCTAGCATGCTCTAATACATTTTGTTGCAAACCCTAAAATTCCCCTAGTTGTTTTCTTGAAGTTGAAGATGATGAAGTCAGGTGCTCTTGAGCTTGGTGAGGCCTCTAAGGGTTCCACCACTCCAAATACTGGGGTGAACAGAGGTGTCTCCATAGTAGACTTCATTCTAAGACTCATCGCCATTTTTGCCACCATAGGAAGCGCAATCGCCATGGGAACAACAGATGAAACGCTTCCTTTCTTCACTCGGTTCATTCGGTTTAGGGCTCAGTACGATGACCTTCCGACATTCACGTGAGTACTACTGTCACTTGTGTTTTGCCAAATATTTCTGATAGTTTTTTAAGGGAATTACTAGGTTTTATATTTATGTTATTGGAAAAAGATAGTATATGCTAAAAAACCTCTCCTCCCAATGTGTGTTTGGAATAGGTTTTTTGTGATTGCGAATTCGATAGTGAGTGCATACTTGGTTCTATCTCTGGCACTGTCCATCTTCCACATCATGAGGAGTGCTGCACAAGGCACTAGGATAGTCTTGATCTTCTTTGACTCGGTATTTTTCAATTGCATCATTGTGCTTAAATTTCTCGTATTTCAAAATTTCAGTCATATTATGTGATTGAGAATGTATTGGAATAAAATAATAATTAGAAAAAACAAATATTTTGAAGTCAACATCCATGCCACCGGCATCCATTTTTAAATATGCAAGTTTTCTTAGACCAACCCCAAACTCGACTTGCCTATGTATGTATATGTTATAAATCACACTTATATTTTTATATGAGTGATAATATATAAACAAATATTTATTTAAGATTTTCATACATAATGATGTGATTCAATTATAATCTTTAACTTTAAAATAAGACACCTATATATAAAGATCACTTATATTTACAATAATATTTTTTTTTTTATCGACAAAATAAAGATTCATTGATGTAAAAAAAAGTGTAAGATATACAAACAAATTACATCAAGAAAATACAAAAGGTCAAGACAGAAAGTATCATACATTTACAATACTATCACAGTCACATAATTTTTATAATGTTTTTTTATACAAATTTTATATATGAATAGAATTTTCCTTCATAAAATAATAAATAATTGCACCTAAAATAACCCCCAACTCGTCACAACAAAAAAAATATGAATTTACAACAAACACAAGCAAGAACATATTCTGTAAGTTTTGCTCTTTTTTTTTTTTTTTTTTTGTCCTTTGGTAAGAGATATTTCGTAAACAAGAGAAAGAAAAGATTCCATTATAGTAAGTCAAATTATTCTTTTTAAGTTACTTAGGCCTCGTTTGGGAACAACCTAATTTAGTAATTTTTTGGTTATTTAGCTAAAATATGAACTTAAAAAAACTAGTATGTTTGGGATGACTTTTTGGCTTTTTACAAAAAGATGTGCAAAAAGTAGAGAGAAAAGAGAATCTTTGACTTTTTAGTATGGATTGTTGGCATTTTAGCTAATTTAGTAACTTTTTAGCTTTTTGACTAAAAGAGAGGGTTCCCAAACGAGGCCTTAGCGAAGAACACACTAGATTAAAATCAATTACTATTATTTTATTGTATTTTATTTTTGTTAATATTAATTGTGAAGGCAATGTTGGCCCTCTTGACTGCGGGAGCTTCAGCTGCAGCTGCGATCGTGTACCTCGCCCACAAGGGAAACACAAGGGTGAACTGGTTTGCGATCTGCCAACAATTCAACTCCTTCTGCAAGCGAACCTCTGGATCTTTGATCGGTTCATTCGGAGGAATTGTGGTGTTTATCATGTTGATCTTGTTGTCTTCTGTAGCTCTTTCTCGACGTTGATCATCATGTCGTCGTCATCGTCTTCTTCTTCTGTGCAATGTCCATGCATATGAAATAGACCGTATCGTAGTAGCTCGTTACACTATTGGTTTGTGTATTTTTACGTGTGATGTGAGTTTGATTGTGTGAGAGTCATGCATTATTGTTATTATTATTTTCTTTCTTTTCTTTTTTTGTATCCTGTGTCGCTGTTGTATGTAATGGATTTACTCTCAATCAATGTAGTGATTGTTTGAAATTAATTTTTTAGTGAATATTTTATTTTGTTCTGTCTTTAATGAATTTTTTTATTAAAAAAATAAAAAATAAAAAACTCTACACTTTTGACACATGGTAAATAAACTGTGGGGATGTATTTTCTGAATACCAACACGTGGCATGGTGACGCCGACGTGTCAGCTGAGGTGCCACGTATCCTGGTAGTTAAGCCGAGATGATCTCGGAGAAGCCGAGGTTATCTCCGAAGATATCGGAATCCGAGATAAGGGACAAGAGTCCTAAGACGGAGAGGGGACTTAACCAAGATAAGGATAAAACTCTTAGGGAGTCTATCTTTATCTCTTAATGAATCTAAAGTAAACATTGATATGAAGTTCATAGAAGTCATACTTCTAGTGGGACTTGGATTGAATATATTATAAAAGAGAGGCACCCCCATGGGTCTAAGGTATGCAATTTATGTTTTGAGTATTCAGTTTAGCATTTGATTATTTTTTAGAGATATACTGACTTGATCGTCGGAGTGCCCCCGGGTGGAAGAACCACCGCCGGAGCTTTTTCTTTCTGTTACAGGTTGCTAAAGCCATCTATTCTGCCTGTGCTCTCCAGCTGATCACTAAACGGGCAGTGTGGTCAGATTTTCACCCACACAAACATATTTCATTCTTAAAAAATTATTGTCACCCATTATAGGGAGAGAAACAAACATCATAAAGAATATTAAACTCATTTCTATACAAATTAAGCTTACAATCTCACATCACAAAATGATATTACACAACCAATAAACTAAAAGTATTAATTCTCATATTCCTCTTTTACTGATGGTAATATATATGGGTAAATTATACAAAGTTTAAAGAAAATGGATAATTACCAACTACTTCCATTCAGTAGACTTAAATACAATTAAAGCCTTGTTTGGGAACAAGTTATTTTAGTATTTTTTTGACTTTTTACGAAAAGATGTACAGAAAAGTAGAGAGAGTGATGTGACAACTTATAGTGACTTTTTGGCTAAAATAGTTACTCCCCAAACAAGGCCTAAGTCTTATTGACATTTTGAATGCATCAATAGGTCTTACAAATTCTTTTATCTTCTATTCTCTTTTCTTCTTTTTCTTCTCTCTCTCTCTACCATTTTTTCAAAAGATTCACACCATCATTGTTTACCACTACCGCCGCCACCGTCCTCCACTTGCCACCACTACCACCGTTGTCACCATCTAGCCACCACTACTACCGTCATCGTTGTCCATCTACCACTACCACTACCACCGTTGTTATTCGAATGCACCATATCACCATTAACTATCTCGACCATCGCTGATCTATACACCATATCACCACAGTCGCTGATCTACAACCTGTTGTACAAATTGTGTGATAACATAAAACAAATAGATTCATATTGAAAAACTAATTGGAATTTCAGAACAAGAACATGGTAGAATTTACAGAAATTCATAGTAAAATAAAACTAGCAAAAGGAAGCAAACCGAAACCTATACTACACAGTGTCCTCAAAGCAGATTTGTCATTTCACTGATTGGGTGCTGGAGGTTGTTCGACATCTATCTCCCAGGATACGATGGTTGGACCAGCTACGCAATGCACCGATTGAATAGTTTCGGTGAGTAGAACTATGACAGCACTCTCTCAGTAGGAAGAATATAAAATTGGAGAAACTTTTGAAGACAAGAACAAATATTCTTCTATCATGAAAAGGAATGAGAGGGCCTCTTTTTATACATATGGAGAGAGAGAGAGAGAGAGAGAGAGAGAGGAAAAGTCACCTACCATCAAGGCCTATCACAAATGCAGAAAATAAATTATGTATTAAACTTGCAAAAACTGCTGGAATAATTCATCACCATTATAGAAGAGTTACATACATTTTATACACATGTGTAATGTATATAATTCTGCTGCCAATAAATTTGGCTTGGCCCAAAAAGATTAAGATGGGTGGACCAAGTCCTACCCTCGCACTTAATCCTCGCCTCAAGCCTCAAGTCCCAAGATCCACAATCCACGAGCCACGACCCACGAATCTGGCCCAGTCATGTGTATAATTCTGTTGCCCACAAATCTAGGTTCGCCCAAAAAGATTAAGATGGGCGGGCCAAGTCCAATCCCAATCCCCACACTTAATCCTCGCCTCAAGCCTTAAGTTCCAAGTCCCAAGATCCACAATCCATGACCCACAGCCCATGGACTAAGACCTAGTCCGGTCCGGTCGCGGGGGGCCGCCAGGGGAGGAGGGGGTGGTGCTCGCGTGTGTGGTAATTTTTGCATAACCAACTTGGATCATAGTCTTGGCCCAAGTCCATCCTTGAAGCATCCATCCTCCCTTCCTTCAGAAAACTTAGATGTGAGACCCCTAACTTTTGTAAACCCTATTAGGTAAGTAAACATGTTTATAAGCTCAAAAGAAAACTTTTTCTAGATTGTGACAAATCTCAAAAATGCTCACAAGTAGGACTAAGATATGATGCAAAATAGGCCTACAAAGAGGGATAAAGCATACAAGGATGTAGGAGAGCTCAAAAAGAAAAGTATCCTTAATCAAACTT